ACTTCTTCCACATTGACAAAATATATCTCTTTGAGGACTTTGCGCACACGGAGGAAACAAAAAAAAGTCACTAGGGGTGGCATTGAGTAAATAGGAAAGGTGGAATACAGGGAGCATGCCTTTTTGGTCAAAAATGCTAAACACTCAGCATGGTTGGGCAGGTGTGTTGTCACAGTAGAAGAACCAGTCATCTGTTTGACATTTCTTCTGTAACTCATGACACAACCTTCTCAAAACTTCCAAATTCCAAGGAACAAATTCCAAGTGTACTGCAAGGCGCCCACTCTCCAAAAGATAATTCCAGGTTTGTTTGGATCTCTCCTTGTAAGTGTACCACCACCCACACCTATGCACATTGTACCCAATAGGTGATTTTTTTCATCCCTCCACCTCTTCCTACCCTCCACTTTCTGAACCTCTCAAGTCCATTATACCATTCTCTATGCCTTTGAAGATTCTTAGTTTAATTCCCACTTATAAGTGAGAGCATATGGTGTTTGCTCTTCTGTTCCCATGTTAATTCACTTAGGATGGTAGGCTCCAATTCCATCCAAGATGCTGCAAAAGACATAATTTTATACTTTTTTAATGACTGAATAGTATTCTGTGGTGTGTGTCCATGTGTATAATTATCCACTGATCTGTTGATGGGCATTAAATTGACTCCACATCTTTGCAATTGGGAATTGTCCTGAGATAAACATGTAAGTGCAGGTGTCTTTTTTGTATAAAGACCGATGTTCCTTTGAGTAGAAACCAACTAGTTGGGATTGCCAGATAGAATGGCAGATCTACTTTTAGTTCTTTGAATTCTCTATGCCAATTTCATAGAGGTTTTTACTGGCTTACTCTCCCACAAACAGTGTATAAGTGTTCCCTTTTCACTGCATCTGCTCCAGTATTTATTTATTTTTTGATTTTTAAAATAATGGCCATTCTGCCTGGTGTAAAGTGATATCTCATTGTGGTTTTAATGTGCATTTCTCTGATGATTCGTGATGAGCATTTTTTCAGATGTTTGTTGGCTATTTGTATGTCTTCTTTTGAGAGATGTCTGTTAATGCTCTTTACTTACTTCTTTTTTTGAGACAGGATCTCATTCAATTACCCAGGCTGGAATGTAGAGGCACAATAGACCTCCTGAGTTGAAGTGTTCCTCCTGGCTCAGTCTCCCAAGTAATGAAACTACAAGCCTGAACACCACGTGGGGCTAATCTCTCCCTCTCATTTTATTTTTTTATTCTTATAGAGTCAAGTTTTGCTTTGTTGCCCAGCATTTTGTTGCCCAGACTGGTCTCAAACCCCTGGTCTCAGATTGTCTTCCCTCCTCAACCTCCCCAAGTGCTGGGATTACAGGCGTGAGCCACTGCGCCCGGTTTTTTGCCCGCTTTTTAGTGGAGTTATTTGCTTTTTTCTTGGTGAGATTTGTTTGCGTTAGATTCTGGCTGTTAGTCCTTTGTGGGATGTATAGTTTGCGAATATCTTCTCATTATGGGTTATTTTAGAATCTACATTTCCTATTATCAAACTTCTTTACTAAATTTTATTTTATATAATATATATAGATAGTTTTGGGGGGGAAGGGCAGGGGGCAGGACTTACAAAATCTGAAGTGTTTTAGGGGGAGAGTAGATTTACAAAACCCCAAATGCCAAACGCCCCAGGGGTTTAGGGGGCGGGGGAACTTCGATTTCGGTAATTGCCTGGTAAAATGGGCGGACACCCTGGACATCGAAAGCGCCACCCGGGTCCCAGGGAGCACAATTTCTCTCATCTCCCAGTTGCAGCAGCCCCTGGGAAATCGCAAGAGAATGAGGCTCCATGACTCTTTTCCCAAAAGATAATAAGCGTCGGAAACCAAGCCCATCTTGGGATCAAAGCAGCACCTGACTGGCCTGCGAGATCCCCACTTGGAGAGCGAGTCAGTTTAGGACTCAAGCCTGGAGGAAGAACCGCCGCGCCGACAGCAGCAGTAACCAAACCGCCCGGCGTGGCCGACAACAATGATGCAACCCGCCCAGGGGTTTCCACGCTCACAACACCCGGCACCCCTCTTCCGCCCCCAGCTAGTGCTTCCGGGGCGCTCCTGCACGAGGGGGCGCATGCGCGAAGTGTCCAGCTCCCGTTCTCTGCGCTCTGAGACTGCGCGTAGGCTCCGGTGGTGCCGGGATTTGTCGCGGCCACCAAAGGTCTGACGGTTGGTCACTGCCACCGCCACTTGGAGCTGCGCGGCACCAGGTGTCTGGGCAGTTAGGCCCTTGCTTCCAGGAAGAGCTGGAATCCTCCCTCGTCTGGCCACGCCTCTCGCAGGCGTCCACCTTTGACATTTTGCCGGAATGGCAGAGAACAGCAAGACCGCCCCTGACCCGATGCCATCCGATTGACAGCGTGTGCTTAACTGGAAGGCTCGTGGACCCAGTTTGTTCCACGTAATTGTAATCATCGCTGGAAATGCCGGAGCGAGCGGGGAAATAACACACGTGCCTGCCCTTAAATATCACTAAATCCTGGCCACCTTAGCTTTTATGGGATTTCACCAACGATTTATTAGTTGTTGTTGGGTTTCCCTGATATACGAATACAGCTTTCTTAAAAAATAAAAATAAAGCTGGATAACAGTTTTAAGGGTTAGAAAGTAGTCAGTTTTGCACAGTAGCAGATACATTTTTAAAAATGAAGTTTGAGTCATCACATTCATGTGCAGGCTTTCAGTGGCCCCGACCTTGTTACTTAAAGCAACTAACTTGGATTTGTGGGGTTACATTTAGATATTTTTAATTTTTACTTTGTAAGTCTTAATACTGTTGTTTGTATAACAATTTATTTTACAAATAAAAATGGCCATGTAGCCAATGTTTCCTGCCCACAGGTTTTGTTTTCTTTAGAAAACATAACTTTTAAACATAATCTGACTCAAGATTTTTTCCCCAGGATTTATCACTAGTCCTTATAGATGATTCCAGTTCAAAACATACATCAGATTAATACATTGACAAATTACCATTGTGGAACAAATACATGTGCAACCATACTGAACAATTTTATATTTAAGGATTTTGTATATCAAGTATGTAATCATTGGTAGAAGTCTAATAAAGTTATTTTACTTTTATACTCAGACGTAACTGCATTTTATCTATTTTCCAAGGAATTTGCTAATTATGAGGTTAGAAAATCTGTACTTCTCTTGCTATGAATTAATAATCATAAATATCTAAATACAATAGGCAGTCTCAGAGAAGAAAACATACTTTGTTGCATTCTATATTTTTATGTGACATTTGAGATCTGTATATTTATACGTAGCAAGGTTTTTTCTAAGATAGCATACAAAGACTGAAAACGTTTTAGTAGTTTAGTTCTGCTAAAATATATGCATCATCTGCCCCCCTTTGATGGTCTCTAAGGATGTCAGAGCCCATGCTCTTCAGGGCGTTTCATTCAGATCTGGTAATCGCTGGAGGAGTCAGAAACTAGAAGCATAGCTGGTCCATCTGGCTGTCTGGATTCAGCAAGGAATAACTGGGATTTCCGGGGCAACTGACAGGATGATCAGAAGGTGGGCAGCAGGGAGGGAATTGAGCAAGCACATAAGACTTGCATCCACTGCAGGCCTTCTACTTTGAGTACCACTCTGATTCTCATTTGTGTTTAGCCACCTTTATTATTTATTTTTAGAGACAGGGTCTTGCTGTCACTCAGGCTGGAGTGCAGTGGTGTGATCATAACTCACTGCAGCCTCAAACTCCTAGACTCAAGCAATCCTCCTGCCTCAGCTTCTGGAGTAACTGGGATCACAGGTATTCACCATCATGCCTGGCTTATTTTTTTATTTTTCATAGAGATGGGGGGTCTCACTGTGTTGCCTATGCTGGTCTTGAACTCCTGGACTCAAGTGATCCTCCTACTTCAGCCTCTCAAAGCACTGAGATTCCAGCCGTGAGCACCCAGCTCTGCCACTTTTATATTTAAGATCTGTACACACTACCTTGTTCCATTTTATTCCTTCTGACTTTTACATTGTATTACATAATATATACTGTATTTTACTTATTGCTTCACTTAGTTCTGGCATAATCTGTCTCCCAACTTTTTACTAATGTAAACAACACATTGTATCTCACCTCAACTCCATTACCCCTTAACCAGGTCTGACTCTTTAAGAAATATCCAACCCATAGTACCAACCTGAGTGCTAGCAGTCAGCAAATATTTAATAGGTGCTTTTGGATTGTTTGACTGTAAGCCAGTTTGCAAAAAATAAATGTACAGAAAACCATTTCCAGAATGAAAAACTAAATTATTAGAATTTATCTAAATTATTAATTTGATAACTTGATACGGCCTGTTAAAAAAAGTTCAAACTCTACTTATGCTTCAGCCTTCTGTGAGGCAAGCCTAGGGCAGAGCATAAGTATCCAAAAATAGAGATGAACTGCAAACTACATTTAAGAAAAACTTCACCTATTTATATATCAAATAACTGGGGTAAATGAAAAACTAAAGCTCTGAAAAAAATCTATTTGACAAACTAGCTTTTGATTGCTAGTAAAAAGCCTAGAAATTAAATAAAACTGTTTCTTATTTCATAAGATGTCTAGAGATAGGCAGGGGCTGTTGATGGATGGCAGCTCAACAATGTGAGGACGGATATTTCTGTGGTTTTCTTGTCCCTTCTTCCCTAGTGACTGAAGACTAGTTCTAGCCATTACTTCAGTGTTTATGGTAGAAAGTGGGGGAAGAGGTGGTCCTACACTTTCATCAGGGAGGAAAAGTTCCCAGAAATCCCCAGGCCAAAGCTGTGTTCTGAGACCAGCCGTGGTTGCAACAGAGGCCAGCAGGGAAGCAATGAGCTCTTCTACATTCTTTAGTGGAGGAGGCAGGTAAAGGAGAAGGGGACTGGGAATGGCTGGCAAATTGGACTACCACTGTGACCTTCATGGATCATTAATTTATCTTTCAAAGTGCGTAGTTTATATATCAAGAAATTTCTATAACAATTTGAAATTCAGTTCTGCTTTTAATCAAGACATATTTTTAACAGATGCATTCCAGCTATACTGCTACTTTTTCTTGCTATTTTTTGTCCTCCCTAACATTCTAGAATGGAACTAAAATAAAATTACTTAATCTTTCAAGAAAGAATAGGAAAAAAATCAAAAGGCCAACCACGATAAAATACTTTCGACTGCTCTTCCACTCAGTCATTGTCCTTCCAGACCAAAGAATATCTGGAAAACATTCCCACATCCTCTGGCATTTAAGAACTGATACAGCTGACCAAAGTCCATATGGTTTCCTCTGGTTCCATTAACACTGAACACTTTTTCTTCAAAAATAGAAAATTTTCTTTGTCTTTCCATTTCATCATTTGTACCATCAAAAGGAATATCTTCTCGATGGCGAATTAAAATTCTCTTCCAGTTTAATTTTCTGAGTCTGAAAAATTTTCAAAGTAAAAATTTTCAAAAGGTATATTCTAGAGCTGTAAGTTATAGAACATAGAGGTAAAGCAGTCTACTTTTATTGTCACAAAATATTCTCAAACTCACCTCAAACTCATTTATTAACATTATTACTGCCTCCTATTAGTTTTAGAAATGAGGAAATTACTGAATCTCAAACTACTAAAGGAGTTCTCAGAAACTCATTTAGGATATCAGTAGAGAAATGAGAAAACTAGCAGCAATCCTACTGATTCTAGAAAGCCCTTTGTTTCACAGGGTGTACAGTCTGCAGCATCTCTAAGATGAGGGAAGAATCAGATTCATGGAATGGATGGGCAGGGGCTCAATTCATTCAATGTATAGTTATAGAATGTTCCCTACATATACTGTATTAGGAGAGAGGGAAAACATTGACTGTGATTTCTGGCTTCCAACTGACTTGAGACTGAATCCCCATGAAGATACAACCCCTGGGACATACTTATTTCTGTATCTCTAGTACAGTTATAAGTCACTTAACAACAGAGATGCATTATGAGAGATGTATCTTTTAGCTATTTCACTGTGAGGACATATGGTATACTTACACAAACCTAGATGGTATATACATGTTTACGAATATGTATTTTTTCATATGGAAAACCAAATGTCCCAGCACCATTATTGAATATCATTTCTCCTACTTGATCTGCAATACCAATATCAAGTGTCATATACCAGATTTCTATTTATATTCCATTATAATCTTATGACATCACCGTGGCTTATGTGGTCCACTGTTAACCAAAATATGTCACTATGTGGCACATGACTATCTTATTTAGTATTTAAATTATTGACACACTATATAAGAAAAGTGAAAGCAAACCTTGACCAGAATTCTTCACAGGCACTTTGTGGGCCTTCCACACAAACAACACCAGGTTTCCCAGGCATGCTAAACCCAGAGAGGGAAAGCTCCTTTGCCCACTCTAGAATAGTCTTTCTTTTGTATTTGCTATAGATATGATGGCTGTAGATCCAGAGTCTTGTGAAGATGAGATCAACTGACTGTACTGTACTTCCCCTGGTAGAAGATGAGATATCCCTGCTGACATAGCCAGAGGCATGTTCTCTAACCCACTCTGTGGCATTCAATATACAGACATCTCCAAGACAATTCTTTTGCAGGTATGCAGTCAGATCAGTGTTCAGCTGAGTCTGCTGGGATCTACTTAATAATTCTGATCTGATGGAAAAGATATGGAAAAAGTTAAATACATTTTCTTAGAGCAGAAAACAAACTTGAGAATTGCTTTTATTCTCAAGTTAATTTTGACCTCTAATTAGGCCAGAGTTTCTGTAACATACCTGACAGTAATTTCAGGCAGAACAGCAGGGTACTTAAAAGGAAGGATACAGGCCAGAGAAAATATCACCTGATTAAAAATAAGAAGGAAAATGCCATAAGCACTGTTATAAGTCTTGACATGTTTCAATTCTTCCAAAACCAAAACTGAATTACCGTTGCTTCCTCAGATACGTCCAAGTTCATACTGATAGTAAAGTAAACTTTTGAAGATCGCCCCTCCATTGTCCTCTTTTCAGTACAATCCTTCAGTTCTGCTAAAGCCAACTGGTCATTCACTATGAGCTCATTCTCACCAGGGAACATACTGGCTAGCAGGTCTAACTCAGAGAGCTGGGCTTCTGCCTGCTCTACCTCAATCATTTTTGGACATCTGCAAGTTTCTGAGGAGGTAAGGATAAGAGAGACAATTTACAGATACAGTCTTGAGAAAACTCAACAGATCAACAGGGGTACTTACTAAAAGTGTATTTGATTTCTTCATAATTGTGAATCTAATCAGTTTCTTTCTGTGTTATTCTACTTTCAGATGTATTATGCTAAGACCAAAAATATGAAACAATCCAGTGAGACCTGTGACACTTTAATAAGGCTGGGTGTAGTGGCTCATATCTGTAATTCTTACACTTTGGGAGGCTAAGGCAGGAGGATCACTTGAGGTCAGGAGTGTGAAACAAGCCTAAGTGACATAGCAAGACCCCGTTTCCACACAGGGGGGAAAAAAGCCTTGACTTCCTCAGCTCAGGCGATCCTCTCGTTTCAGCCTCCTGAGTAGCTGGGACTACAGGCATGCGCCACCACACCCAGCTGATTTTTATTTTATAGAGATGAGGTCTTGCTGTTGCCCAGGCTGGTCTCAAATTCCTGGGCTCACGCAATCCTCCTGCTTCGGCCTCCCAAAATGCTGGAATTAGTTATGAGCCACCATGCCTGGCTGTGCATTTTCCTCTACACTTAAATATTTGATCCATCTGGAATTTACTTTTGTTTAAAATGTGGAGACCAGCTTGTGTTTTTTTCTAGTTTGCCAGCCTTATGTGTATGTCTGTGTGTATACATACATACATATATATATATTTCATTTGTAGTCTCACTCTGTTACTCAGGCTGGAGCAGAGTAGCACAATCACAGCTATCCATAGCCTTGACCTCCTGGGCTCATGCAATCCTTCAGTCTCAGCATCCTGAGTAGCTGGGACTACAAGTGCATGCCTCTATGCCTGGCTAATTTTATTTTATTTTTTTGTAGAGACAAGGTCTTGCTGTGTTGCCCTGGCTGGTCTCCAACTCCTAGGCTCAAGAAATACTCCTGCCTCAGTCTCCCAGAGTGCTGGGATTACAGGTGCAAGCCACTGTGCCTGGTCCAGTACCTTTTATAATACATTTGAAATGCTCCCTTCAACATGTTAAGTGCCTATATATAATATTTGAGTCTATTTCAGGATTCTCCATTTTGTTACACAGATATGTCTGTGATATTATGCCCTAATACTCAACTCTTTATATCACTGCAAGTTAATAAATCACTCCTACTCCATCTCTTCATAGCCATTGGTTTTCTTTTTTCGATTTTTTTTTTAAAGAACTTTCCTGGCTCTTTTCATGTTTATTTTTTCCCATATAAACATTAGAACACTCTTGTCAAGTTTAGAAAACAAGAAAAATTGGTAACTGCATTGAAATTAAAGATTAACACAGGGCAAAATGATAGGCTTATAACAGAATTTTCCCTTCAGTAGAGTTTTTTTAAAAACAGCTTTAATAAAGTATAATTTGTATACCATGCTGTACTATTGCTAAGCAAGATATTTAAAATGTTAGCACCCCTTAAGGTTTGCTCTGAGCCCCCTTCTTTCCTTTTTATTCTTTCATGTTGTCAAATGTCATCAAATACTAAATGTACACAATTATCAAATTTTTATCTGAAACTCCATATTCCTGAGCTTTTTTGTAAATGTAACTGCATCCATGTTTCCACTGGATGGTGTCTTAGTCCATTTTCTTATAACAGAATACCTGAGACTGGGGTAGTTTACAATGAACAGAAATTAATTTGGCCCATGGTTCTGGAAGTTGGGAAATCCAAGGGCATGGTGCCAGCATCTGACAAGGGCCTCTTTACTGAGTCACCCCATGCAGAGGGCAAGAGAAGGTGAGGGCAAGAACATGAGAGATTAGGGGGGCCAAACTCATTTTTTTTTTAAAATCAGGAGCGGGTTACTTACTGTGGGATTGAGTTCCTGATAAATAACAGCATTAATTCACTTAATCACCTTCCACCTCTCAACACTATTGCATTGAGAATTTAGTGTCCAAAATATGAACTTTGAGGGACACAGTCAAATCACAGCAGATGGCATCTCAATCTTAACAGTTGTAAAACAGACCTAATTATATTTCTTTCACAATAATTCTTTTATTCCTTTTCTGTTTAGAGAATGTTCGTTAACCATTCTCTTAGGGTATACCTGCTGGTGACAAATCTCTTAGATTTCCTTTGTCTCAGAATGTCTTGATTTCCTCTTCATTACAGAAGGTTATTTTCACTGGATACAGTATTCTAACTTGACAGTTCTTTACTTTAAGGACTTGAAAAATGTGATGCCTAGTCTATCTGTCCTTCCTAGTTTCTGATGAGAAGTTCTCATTTGAATTTTTTTTTTTACAGGTAAAGTTTATTTCTCTCATTGCTTTTAAGACTGTCTTTAGTTTTCAGAAGTTTGATTATGATGTGTATTAATATTGATTTCTTTGGACTATTCTTTTTTGGGGTTTGGTCAACTTCTTGAACCTGTAGGCCCATGCCTTTTGACAAGCTTGGGAATTTTTCTGTCATTATTTTTTTGAGTACTTTTTTTTTTTTTTTTAAGAGTCAGAGTCTCTGTTGCCCAGGCTGGAGTGCAGTGGCATACTCACCACCACCACAGTCTCAACCTACTGGGCTCAAGACAATCCTTCTGCTTCAGCCTTCCAAGTAGCCAGAACTACAGACATGTGCCACCATGCTCAGCTAATTTTTTAATTTACTGTGGTCTCAAACCCATGAGCTCAGGCAATCCTCTTGCTTCTGCCTTCCCAAGTGCTGGAATTAGAGGTGTGAGCCACTGTGCCTGGCTTTTTAAATTTTCATCCCTGCTCTCTGCTTCCTTTCCTTCTGACACTCTGAGTACACGAATGTTAGATCTTTTAAAAATAGTTCTACATATCCCTAAAACCCTACATGTTTATTTTTGGCCTGTTGTCTATTGTTCAGATTGGATAATTTCTTTCTTTCTTTCTTTATTTTTGGAGTCTCACTCCATTGCCTAGGCTGGAGTGCAGTGGCATGCTCACGGCCACCCCATCATCAACCTGCTGGGCTCAGGCGATCCTTCTGCCTCAGCCTTCCAAGTAGCCAAAACTACAGGTGCACGGTACCAGGCGTGGCTAATTTTTTATTTATCGTAGAGATGAGGTCTCACCAAGTTGCCCAGGTTGGTCTTGAATCTGAGGGCCCAGGCAATCCACTTGACTCAGCCTCCCAAAGTACTGGGATTACAGGGTGAGTCACCAAGCCCAGCGAGATTGGGTAATTTCTGTTGTTTGCTGATAAAGAATCTGCTTACTGATTCTTTCTTCTGCCCCCTTCCTTGAGTCCAACCACTGAGTTTTAAATTTTGGGTATATTTTTTCATTTCTAACATTTTCATGTGGTTCTTCTTTATATCTTCTATTTCTAATGCTGAGACTTTCTACTTTTTGTTTCAAGTGTGTTTGTAGTTACTCACTGAAAACATTTTTATGAAACAAAAGTTTAAGATCATTGCCAGATAATTATATGTCATCCTGGTGTTTGTATCTATTGACTATCTCTTTTTCACTTAGTTTGAGACATTTCTGGTTCTTGGTATGATGATTTCTTTACATTAAAAGCTGCACATTTTGAGTATTATGTTAGGAGATTCTGGATATTATTAAATTTTCTATTTTAGCATGTTTCTCATGATACTACTACAGTAGGGAAAGGAGGTTGGTCTTGTTACTGGCAGGTGGGGTAGAAGCACTGGTTCCCTACTTAGTATCATTGACAGTAGAAGTAGGGGAGGGAGTTCTATATAGAAATGGGAGTTCTTACTCCACTGTAGGCTCCTAGTGATACCTCTGTGGCTAGGAAGGATGGTAATGCCTTGCTATTGCTCCCCATGTGGTCTCCACTGACACTATGGTTGGAGAGGGTAGCCTTGTTAATGCCATGCAGTGGTCAAAGTTCTGACTCTCCACTTAGCTTCCTCAGACATCACCTTAGCAAGGTAAAGGAGGGGTGCCTTGTTATTGCTGCAGCAGGGTGGAAGTACAAGCTCCCCATGTGGTCTGACATGGACTTGACATGTGTTTGACACTGAACCAAGGTAGGGTTTTTCTTTATTAGTGCCTGTTAGAAAGGAAAGTCCTGGGTTTTTTTTTTTTTTTTGAGTTGGAGTCTCACTCTGTTGCCCAGACTGGAATGCAGTGGTACGCTCCTGGCCACTGCAGCCTTGACCTGCTGGGCTCTGGTGATCTTTCAGCCTCAGCCTTCCAAGTAGCCGGAACTACAGGTATGCACTACCACACCCGGCTAATTTTTTGATTTATTGTAGAGGTGAGGTCTTGCCAAGTTGCCCAGGAGGGTCTCGAATCCACAGGCTCAGGCAATCCACTCACCTTGGCCTCCCAAAGCGCTGGGATTACAGGCTGAGCCACCGAGCCCAGCTAGTCCTGGGTTCCAACTCAGAGTTTTCTGATACCATTCTGATTAGGGGTGGGTATGGGTGGGACCACAATTTTTTCCTGTAGCATTTGCTTGGTATAGAGCATTTATTGTCTAAATGTCTTCTGTTTTGCCAAGCTTCCCCTTTCTTGGTCCTTTATATGCAAACAGCAGGGTTTTGTGAGGGCTTTTTATGTTTGTGCCTTTGGTGTTGCTGGATTGTTACTTCTTCAGTTTCACATCTGGGATATCAGAGACAAAAAGTATACCCAAGCAAGTCAATGCCATATTCTTCCTTGGGTCCGAAGGTCCCTAGCCAGTCTACTCTCTCCCACCTTTTAGTCTTCCTGTGTTTTATATATGTTGTCCAAAATCCTTAGTTGTACTCAGCAGAAAGAAAAGAGAAAAATATTGCCCAAAAGTGGAAGTCCTCCCAACATAGTAGTTTTAATTTAGCAATTTGGCAAAAGAGAAAAAAAGACAGTTCATAACTATTAATTGCCACGGGGAAAAAGTTGTTACAGAATGCTGATCTAAAAGTTCCAATCATATGAAGGTGACCTAAGTAATAAATGAAACAATGTATAAAAATGTGTCTGTAAAGATGTTCAGTTCATCACTGCTTACAAAAAATATCAGAAATGACTTAAATGTTCA